TAGAAATTCAAAAAATGGGGGAATTTAGAAAGTAACTTCAAGCAATCCAGTGAGGTCATTTCAGATATTATGTGCAGCAGTTCCTCAGCTGTTCCTTGTGTCCCTTTTAACCGCATATCTTCTCGTCGGTGCGGTTATTTTCCAATCCATTGATCAAGAGCTTGCCAAATGTTCATTTCTGGATGTAATTCAGTTTGAGTTCGGAACGCTGACCACAATAGGTAAGGCCGTCTTTCTTGTCTATTCTACTGTATAGCTCATGAGTCTGGTCAACCAGCACATGCATTTTATTCAAATGCTCTGAATGAAGCAGTTTAGGTTACGGTAACATTAGCCCTACGACTGATTCGTCTCGAATGTTCTGTATACTGTATTCGATTCTCGGTATTCCTCTAATACTCCTTACGATGGCAAATTTCGGAAAGTTCATGACGAAAGGATTCTGGTATTTGATGTATCTTTGCAAGCTGGTAAGTACAAATCTGATAATATTTTTCCTGTGTAATTATATCTGTTCTTTTTCCTTAATTTATTCATCTGTTTACATACTTTTTTGTTTATTTATGTATTTACCTACCCACTTGACTGTTTACTCGTCTATTTATTTGCCTAACCGACAGGGAAATCAGAAAGTAATGAAGTAAACACGATTAAGACGGCACATACCAAACTAGGACCAGCTCACAGGGTCGGCGATTTCTGGGCAAAACTTTGGGCTTGGACGGGGCTCAAACTCGAACTTGTGGAACATTCGCATCGCGAATTAGCAGCAGATAGGGAACATCAAGTGAAAACTAGTGTGAGCTTCTTGTAAGGAAGTCGCACCACGAACAAAAGTAAACAAAACAGCAAAACAGCACGGGAACGCTAATTCACAGTAACAGGTGGCACCACTGGAACCTACGCTCAAAGTTACTAGGTGAATGCACAAAAGCTTACTTCTTTCTTCATTCTTACAAGAAGTATTAGTTAAATTTTATTGTTATTCTTTGGATCTGCTCAGCGTAGGATTACTAGTACGGGATAATAATTCGAAAAATTTCTAAATGTCAAAACTATAGAAACTGGGGATAAATTAAAGGATTCATGCAAGTGAAGTGGTTTACCGTAGTTCTCTGCATAGAATGATTCGAAAGACATTCAGGATGTGCATCACGAGGACCGTGGCACGGCAGCACGGCATAAGGTGCAAGGCATGCGAGATCTAGGCTTAAGGAATCATTATAACCTCTTTGAGTGCCAGTCAGCACGGCGCCGCCTGCAAAGCTTCCTCCAGGAGAAGCGGGACGCTCTTACCTGGGTGTCAGCACGGCATGACGTACAAGGAAATGCAAGCACCAGACGGGAGGGAAGCAAGCAGAGCAGTTCTCCTCGAAACACGGCAGCAGTGCATGGCAAGGCAATGCGAACTGCTCGATGGGGGTAATACACTGTTGTGCAGAACTCAGGGACGAAAGCAACTTGCATTTGCTTCACCTCTGCCAGGTACACGTGTACTGCCAGTTAAACTATTCCTCCACGAAGGGAAGACTAGTTTTCTGTGCCTACTACTCCCACTCTTTCATTTATTTCCGCCCTTTCCTTAATATTTAATGTTACATTATACATCTCGTCCCTAAGTTTTGCCCACCACTGTAGTACATATATTACAGGCGCGGTAGATGTTGCAAAGTATGAGATAATGAGAAAAATTCAACAAATTTCAAAAATTGAAGCGACTAAAAGAATCAAAACAAACCAAGTAAAACACCCATGAGTCTGCCTATCTCTATCTGGCCTTCCATCATCTTGAATGCTCGTTTTACTAATTATACCCTTATCAGAATCTTATTTTGTTGCTTGTTCGTTGAATTTATATTATTCCTGATTCAATTGCTGTAGGCAAGTCTTCTTAAACCAATGATTTTTTTCTTGTAGTTCAGTTTAACGGCACTCCATTTCAGCCCGTGGCTCGTTCCAAGCTGAGTACTGATGCTAATATGCCATTGCCCATCATTCTTCTTCTGTTCGCCTGCACATTTTACTTTGGATCCAGGTTTATTCATCACACAGGTGTTCGACATAGTGTAGATGATGTGTACTTCAGGTATGACCTATAACTTGTCTGTTCCTTTTCCTTGTTTCTTTTTGATTACTTTTTTTGAATCTTTCAGTTATTTTCTTATTTTTGATGGGGCTTTTTCTAGTGATTTTCGTGCTGTAGAAAAGTTTACACTAAGTAGTATGTCCAATGGTCAATTATCCTGTCCATTTTTGTGGTGTAGTTTTTCGCACCACATTGAAATATTAGCAGTAATCTGTCGTGTACTTGTGAGATAGAAATTCGCTGTCTATGCCCGTCACCGTTGATAGATAATTTCGTGCCGGTGTGCAAGCGGACAGTTGCATAAAAAGGATGTCTTTGGAAAAATGGTTTTTCTCCTATTTGGTTATGATAAAAAATAGTGCAGGGAGATCGTAGTTATTGGTACCCAAGAACTCAATCCCCATCGTAACTCCTCATTTCTAATATTGCGCGAATTAGATGAGAGGAATGGAGCAGCAGTCTAATGTCGACAACATAATTCATTGGCTTTCGGTTTATCCAGAATATCATCTGATAGCGCCATTAAGGGCATCTTTTATGGCAGCGGACTCGTGAGACGAGTGTTAGTGTTATCCCCTCCGAATTCTCTTTTACTCTCTAGAAGGTACTTGCTAGCCTTGAAAATCATGCCATACAAATATTCATAATCCTCTTCTGCCAACAGTGCTTGCACTGCTTGACGCCGTGCCGTGCTGTCATCCTCGTCGAAGTGAAGCTCAGCCCGCCTTGAAACCCTTGTAAGCTGTGCCGTGCTGACAACTACGACCGCCTACCCCCTGACATGGGTGCTTTCTTTCTGTTCATTATTTTCTGTTGCCTTGCTGTCTGTGCAGTGCTGACAATCGAGACGAATGGCCTTGCTGTCACGGATGTCTCGTCTCGTTTGCCGTACTGACATCCACAGTGAACAAGTTGCTTCTGGTGTCTTCGCTCTCGCAATCTACGTGAGTTGCCTCGTAAGCTGTGCCGTGCTGACACCTTTGACCGCCTATCCCCATAGATACTTTCCTCTTGTTCCGTCTTTTCTGATGCCTTGCTCTCTGTGTCGTGCTGACCATCAAGGTGAATCGCCTTGCTGTCACGGATGTCTGGTTTCCTTGGCCGTACTGACATCCACAGTGAAGGAGATGCTTCTGGTGCCGTCGCTCTTTCACTCTGCGTGAAATGCCTTGCAAGCTGCGCCGTGCTGACGTCCTCGAAGAACAGTCCCGCTTTCCGTAGACATCTTACCTCCCATTCAGCGTTCCCTTCCTTTGGGCGCGATAACGGGAGAAACTTCATCACCTGACCTCATCGAACCCCGAACTTCCTCCATTATGTGAGAGGCGGAATTGAATTCACCCCTAATTCTTTTTCACTTTCTTATCTTCTGATTCGTAAGAGTAATGCACTTCTCCTTATTCGATCTGATTTTCAGCTTCATCAGCTTCACAACTGTTGGTTTTGGCGATACGTTGCCTGTGACGGATAGCATTGGCCGATTGTGTTTCATGTTGCTCTATTTGACTTGGGGAATTATGCTTACGACGGCTCTTTTCGGTGTGCTCAATCAATATTTGAGGAAGGTAAGTTCTCACGAAGAGGATTAGTTGCCATTGAGACTAAAGAGAGCTCAATTGTTCTAGGTGCACTACTTGGGTAGACGTTTCACAGGTGCACGTGACGTTCCGGTTTGGATGGGTGGTCAGTGTATTACAGTGTCACAATTGTTGCAAATCGTCGCCAACGAATTCGATGTGAGAAATGGACGCTAAACATCTGAACGCTCGAAGCAGCAGCGCAATTTCTCCTCTTTTCAGGCTTCCCCTCGCGAAGTACGTTCAATGCTGCAGGATTTAGATGAAATTATTACTAGTGCAACTACTGAGAAGGGCGAAAACGTGCCTCTCGTCACGGACATTGAAGATTTTGATGTTTACGAATAGATTTTGAAAAATACGGTAATTGTACATAGGAGATGCATACTTATAAACAGTTCTGCTCAAGTGTCTACCAATTTGCTCGATGATTAATCTACAAATGGTGTGCGCCGGCTACCTGTCTTCCTTCTTAACGATACCGTGAAAGGTGTCTGTATACATATGCTAGGGCAATTGGAATTCTTCGAACTCTCCTTCGTACTTCCACTACAAAAAAAGAACTTCCTTCCATTCTCCGAGGTCAATATGGTACCAACCAGTCCATTNTTTGAAAAATACGGTAATTGTACATAGGAAATGCATACTTATAAATAGTTCTGCTCAAGTGTCTACCAATTTGCTCGATGATTAATCTACAAATGGTGTGCGCCGGCTACCTGTCTTCCTTCTTAACGATACCGTGAAAGGTGTCTGCATACGTATGCTAGGCCTATGCCTACGATTCAAGCATGTAAGAGCTTTCTTAGTGCATTCGCAGTGCTACAAGGCAATTGGAATTCTTCGAACTCTCCTTCGTACTTCCACTACAAAAAAAGAACTTCCTTCCATTCTCCGAGGTCAATATGGTACCAACCAGTCCATTTTGGAGACCAAGCCATTTGGGATAGCCCCAATTCTCTACTTTATCGTCTTAAAATAACCAACTGCCATTGTACTGATCAAAGTGCGCTTGCAAAATTGTTAAACGAACAGTAATCAATTGCAGTTGCACTTTTCAATGAGTTCTCTTTTAATAACATTTTTCAAAAGTGTATGGCTGCAAAATATTCAGCTAGACGGTTTTAGGGAATAATTGATTGTCTACTCCGATATGTTTGTTACTTTTCCGTGATATTGAAGTTTCGATCCTGGATTGTACTTTGTGATCCATATCTTACACAAAGAAGAATAAGAAGTTCATGAAGGCATGACCAAC